TGCTGATTTGGGAACGTATCAAATGAAATCATCAGTTTCCAGGTTATGGAAAACAAGTCTAAGGATATATGCATCACTGAGGTCTCGGTTTGAAAGAAAATCCTAGCCATTCCTTTGTAATTTTCTGGATGCCAAAATTTAATTAAAATGCATTTCCTTCTAAGGAAATAAAAATCCTCAGATGTTCTCTTGGTTTCATCTTCAATCACTGACAAATTTCAAAGAAATATGAAGTGTTGGCAGAAGCATTAATGAGACCTGAAGAACTCTACTGCTACTGGAGAATCAGGGTTTTTTTTTATCCGGGCCCATTAGCTACTTTGCAAGAAAGATGCCACTATCCTTCCAGAAATAGGTGGAATATTTATTCTGACCAGATCTGATATAGGATGGAGATAAGTAGAATATTAACGGAAATGTGTTTTATCAATGAAGAAGGGCATTTTATTACCAACTGTAGCTGATAAAATATGGCAATAATACATATTAGAAATGTTGAGTTCTGTCTTCCCATAAATGCTAATTCCTTTCAACAGTTGGAATGAGATCCAATGAGGAGTCCTAATTGTGGAGGACCAAGTGGAATTCCCCTATTCTTAGCTCCCAATGCAGCCTTCCACACTTCTGTAAGGGTCCCCCAACCTTCCAGATGATTTGGAGGAGTTAAGGATGGCTCACTATGAAGGTTCAAAGGTTGTACCCTCCTCCATTTCCCACCTCTTTCCAAACCTTCACAGGTTGTATCCACTATTTATCAAAATTAGAAGGGACCAGGGGTTCCCTTCTAGTTTTTCAAAAATTGTATTTGAGTTTTTAAAGAAACATTGAAATAGAGTTGTTCCTTTCTTTCAGATTTCTGAAAGAATAATTCTCCCATTTTTCATTCCTGTCCTAGAAACTTCCTAGAGAAATAGAAAGGTATCTTCACTAGTCATTTTGTAGGTCCTCAGGGATGACTCTATGGTAACTTCTAGTAGAAGTACGTCATAGAATTGCAATGGAAGATCTACACAAAGCCTAGATAGGTCATATTTTGGATACATGACCTATCCAAAATGGATACATGAAACTGCAAGTATCAATCACATGGGTAAAAGGGTCATGATGTATAAGAATCTGGGGCTTTTCCAATCTTACTGCAAATTTTGTTTCTTTCTTGAATGCAATACACAGTATGGGAATAAATACGATCTACATCATTAATACATTTGCATAGCAGACCCTTGAATAGCACAAAGGCCATTTCTAAAGGGGCTAGAAACACTCAATGAAGCATGAGGACCTGAAGCATGGCCAGAGAGGGGCACTGTTTGTGGTGAAATTCCAGAGGTCATTCAGTGTACAAAGGAATGATCTGGACATGTATCATCACTATACTGGGAAGGACTAGACCCACAAGACCTATGTACTTGCTCTGTTTGCTGTCTAGATTCTAATCACCAGTTGAGAGTTTCAAGGACCTGCTGCTATCTTTTCTACAAACCCAGTCTCACAAATTCAGTTATATCAACTGAATTTGCATAACAGCTGACTCGCCATGCAGGAACTTGTTCAATAGGTCTATTCTCATTAATGTCTAGTTAATGCAACCCAAAGACTGGTATACACAGATATGAAGGTTGTGGATAAAAGAGGAGAATGTGAATGATTCATAGTGGGCATCATGACCATTATGGACCATTCACATTTTCCTGTTTTATCCTCAATCTTCATATCTTCATACCATCCAGTCAAGGAAAACCTGTAGTTGCCCATAAAGGGCTTATAGTGTTAGGCTATGGTCCTGTTTGTCTAGTGTAATTATGAAAACAGCATAAAATATAGGGCAATAACAGAAGTAAAATGAGAATGGGTTGTGTGATGATGGGGTAGTTATGATGGCAAAGACTTCCTCTGCTGTCCTGTTACAGCACATGGTGGCAATAGCTGGGTTATGCCAATGAGACAGACGGTACCTATTAAATCCCAGCCAATAACTGCCCTGGCATTCCCATTTTTTCAAATTAGAAAAACCACTGCTTCATATCAATCAGCTAGATGGCTTTTGTTTAAACCTCCCGACAAAATGCTTCAGTCTGCCATTGCTATGAGGCACTTTGGGAAATGAATGCCCTCAGATCAATCCTCCTTAGACATTTTAATTTACAAAAATGATCTGGAATGCTGCTATGTTGGTGGATCAGTGAGGAAACTGAAATGGCAGCTGCCTTGTACTTGTCAATGAAACACTGCCTCTTTAAGATATGTTAGCATAAAGAGGCAGTCTTTCATTGACAACCACAAAAAGTAGAACACAAGCTTGTACCAAGAGGATGAGATTCTAAGGACTTGATCACACCAGCCCACTGTTCTGCTACAGCTGCATTCATGTAGATAATGGCTATTTCCTTGAGCATCTTCAATACTGCACTTGTCAACAGTAGTTTTAGTTTTATCTACTGTTTTAAAATTCTATTATTTTGATTTTATGCTACATGTGTTGATGGGGGTTGTTATTATCATTTTATGTGACTTGTTTTATACTTCTGTATCATTTTTACTTGTTGTATGTTATATGTGCACCCTGGAGTGCCTTGTAAGTTGTCCCAAGTCCTTTTGGGGAGATGGTGGTGGGATAAAAATAAAGTTTATTATTATTTATTATTGGTACAATTTTATCAGTTCACCAATCCACACAATCTTGCAGCCCCCTTCCTGAACTACTATGGTTCATTTAGGTTTTTATATATATATATATATATATATATATATGCAATTTTATTTTAAAAACACACACACATATATATTTATATATACAGGAAATAGTCCACTTGGACATAGCAAGGGAAGTGGGGGAGAGGAAGAAACTCCCATCTACTGATATCACAGGATTGTTGGCTTGTTGGCACAGAAGCAGAAGGGACTCATTGCAGTTTAATAGGTAGTGGAAACATAGCAGGAGGGGGAGGTATTGACAGGTTTTACCCCTCAACAGCTAGGGATGGGAGAATCGTAAGAGGGAGGCAAAATGGGTAATGGAATGTACACGGTGCCATGTGACAGGAACCATAACCAAACATGACAAGTCAGCTACAGTGGTAGTTTGTCTGCTTCATGTAATAATTCTAAGATAATAATTATTGATAACTTGGCAGATCTGCTCCATTGGCTCAGGCAACCTTAAAAGATACTCCCAGACTAGAATCTATTTTTAAAATTTTAATTTATTTATTCCATTTATATGCTGCCTTTCTCCTGGATTAGGACACAATTTATGGTTCACAGAAATTATAGTTTCAAAATCAGAATTGCTTTATTTTATAGATCTTAGAAGATTGAGCATGGCTGTTACAGCAAAGTATCAAAATAAAGTGGATCATTGTTTGATCCCTATCATTAGGCAGTGTGAAGCCGCGGTGCCACCTCAAACAAGCAATATGAGGTGTTATTAAAAAAAAAACACCAAATGGTCAGGTATGCGAGTAATCATTACAGGGTTGTTTGTTTACTGCTACAGATGAAAAAAGGGACTTGGGAGATTTTCTGTCTGTGGAATTAAAATAACTTGGCTGGTTTTATTAAGACTTAGAAAAGTTTGCCTTTCCAAATTTTGGATTTGGCTCCAATGCAGCATGGCTTAGGGATGGGGCTGCTCATCTCAAGCAAAATATCTTGGAACAAACCTGCAATGTTTGGTCTCTGGTTCATAAGCATGGTTTAGCGCATTTATTTATTTCTGAGCTGACGCAGTTTTCTCTACAAAGAAGACCGCAATCTGGCCTTTTGTCAAATTAGTTAAATGCCACTAAAGTCAATTAAGGTTAGGTGACCTATTTCCAGAATTGTAGGGAAATGGAAGGATTTTATTAGGCAGTGGCACTATAATAATTCTGAAAATGTGAAAAGAATAGTAGCTTCTTTGTAATGATAACCACCTACCCATCCATCTATCTCAAAAAAACACCCTATCTGAATCTCTTTCCTAATAGTACTTTATGTGGCATAGTTCTACCAATGAAGCAAGAAATCCTGTCTTAACCAAAGATGTCAGACGATACTGAGCAGAAAATAACACATCAAAACAACTTGATTGGTATCATATTAGGAATCTACTAGCAGGAAGGGGACTATGTCCTTGAAGCAGAGTTGCTATGACAAACAAAACAAAATAAACTACCCAAGGATGCTGAGTTACATTTTTTAAAAATATGTTACTAGTTAAAGCTGTCTACAGGATGTTTTTCACAAATATGTTATGTCACTTCATTTTCAGAAGCTGCATTTTTAACCAGGGACTTTGGCAGGTTCTCGTGAAAGGCAGAAATCTCAATAAAATCCTGGTTGTCAGAAGCGAAAAATTTATGGCCCATCCTGGATGAGACCAAACACAATTGGTCCATTCATCAAAAGCATATACTATAATCTTTCAACTGCCTTTTATATCAAATGATTCTCCTGTAAAAAGATGCCATTTACACTGCTATATACCATGTACAAAAGTTAATTCAAAGACCCTATGAATGCTGGTAATAGGAGGTCAGCACTGCCCCACAAATAGCTTAAGATATTTTGTTTCCTGGCAAAAGACAATATTGTTCCCTCATTATTCCATTACAGACATTGACTGGAATGGCAAATGAATATTGCAAATGGGACATCAATGGGATTTTGTTTACCGTTACAGATTAGATCAATATGTTGGAGGATGCATCATCCTTCAACATATGGATTATGGGCAGATTCCAAGGCAGGAAAAAACTTAAGAAGAATGGCTTGGGGGAGGTCTGTCACTACTGCTCCCTCCTATCATCTCTTGCCTATGTCTGCAATGTAGGATCTCAGCCAACGTCTATGAAAAGATAATTAATATTATCACAACCGTGCAAGCAACATTCATCTGATCTTTTAGGCTTAAAAGTATGGTGGCAAGTACTGCAATCTTCAGACCATAAGAAACAGAAACTATGAAAATTAAACACAGAGAAATTAAATTACTTTTTTGTGTTTCATTTTTTCCCCAGGATTACACACTCACTATGTATTTCCAACAGTCTTGGAGGGATAAAAGACTGTCATACTCTGGGATACCTTTGAATCTGACTTTAGATAACAGAGTGGCTGACAATCTCTGGGTACCAGATACATATTTCCTCAACGACAAGAAATCTTTTGTTCATGGAGTTACTGTGAAAAACCGAATGATTCGGCTACATCCAGATGGAACAGTTCTTTATGGTTTGCGGTACGTAATGTTTAAATTTACTTTGCATTGGCTTACTAAAATAAGTTTCCTCATAAGAACAGTTATATTGAAGGCATGATTGCACAAACATTTTTGAAGTTCAGGTTGTTCAAAAGCAATATGTATAAACAAACGCATATACATTAAGTTAATTTTTGGTTCCTGATTATGTTAACATTTCATAAGGAAAAATATTCCACACATTACTCTTGCATTTCTTTTTTATCATGCTTTTATCATGTAGGAAACTTGACATAAAGTTATGCAGTGGAATCCTATATGACATATTTGTTACATTGTTGTTGTTCATTCGTTCAGTCGTCTCCAACTCTTTGTTATTTGTTACATTTGTTACATTACTTACATATATCTAGCTATGTTACATTACTTACATATCTAGCTATGTAGCAGAGACAGTAAGAAACCCCTTCACTAAATTGCATAGATGGGACGTCAGCAAAGTTGTCCAATGTGGATTGGTGCCCAGTGTACATCAAGGCCGAGAAGATGAGCATCAGAACTGATGCAATTAGCATTGAGGCCAATGCATATTGATCTCATTGTACATCAGTCTTCTTAGCATTGTGCACCAATGCACATCAGAAACTTTGCTGGCTCCCCTATGTAGTAATATAACAACAGCCCTATACTGGATATGGACATTGCACAACTGTGCAATTTTAAACTCACATAGTTAAGTCTACTTACAAAGGTATAAGTTCCCAACATGATTTTGGCCAATGTCTGTACAGGAAGGCCCACTTACCTGGTGGATTAGGGGCCAATGCGTTGTCAGAAAGCAGAATCAATTGAAAAGTAGGATTCGTTGTTTTGGCTAATAAATGCATTTTGGCTACCTAAAACATAAATAAGATTATATCACTTTTAAATTAATGATAAAGTTAGAAGAGATTTTTCACCCATTCAAGAATGTTTCACATAGGGGTCCACTCTTTCTGTAGGCAAATCTTAGGACTACGCATGTGTGTGTGAGCTTGTAGCAACAAGAACCAATGGAAGAGTAGACCCCTCATTGAATTAATGGAACTTGTCTAGAATTTGCAAGCATTACAAGACCAAGTTGTCTGAAAGCAAGGCATCAATGGCAAGAGAAGCTTGCAAAGGCATTTTCTCAATAGCAAGAAAGACCTTACTGAATGACAGTGCTGGTTAGACAACATGGACATAAACTGTATGTCATTTGCTTAACTTTTCCCATATCCTCCTGCGATGGATAAATGAAGAAAGTGCAAATCAAGTCACACTCCCATTTCCTTTTTGTTCTGAAAGAAAGAGAGAGAGAGAGAGAGAGAGGGAAGGTGTGCAGGGGCATTGGTCAAGGAGAGGGAAGCATTTAGGTCTAGCTAGCCCAACTCACATGAAATATCTCCACATATGAGCCTACCTGAGCCCTAAGGTGCTCAAGAAAGGCTTTTCTCTGAATCCAGTCGGGAAGGCTAGATGGCCTTCTCCTTGCAATCTTTGCATCATCATGCTTTTTTATTCCAACAGGCTTTTGAAAACTGAAGGTTTTAAAGGTAAGGGCTCTTAGGAAGAAGCTGTGTTGCTTTTATTGTTTTTTATTGTTTTAACTGTACTGGAATTTTAAACCATTTTAAGTGTATGTTTCACCTGTTTTACAATGTGTAAAGTTCAATTCCATGGTAATGTTGCTTGATCTTGTGCATCTTAACTCTATTGTATTTTCATTTATAAACCATTTTGGGTGTCATTTTGGGGGGAAGGGGGGTATAAATAAGTTTCCCCTCCTTCTCCATTTCCACCTCTTTCTTCTCCTCCTCCAATGGTTTAGACTTTAAATGGAGCAGCCAAGCATCAAAAAACCTTTGGTCTGTTACAAATCATTCAGAAAACACCATAGGAAATCTAAACCACCTTGTATTTACTTCTTTTTTCTAAACTACTTGGAAAGTACTGATGGTTTTTATTATGGAAATAAACGAAGGTACAGCTGTAATACATATAGTTCTTACCATTTGTTTCACTCCATTTTTCAAATAATCCAGGTTTTTGAGGGGAAAGCCAATTTTTTCTGTTTATCCCCAAATTGCATTAAAATGTTTGAAATGTCAAATTAAATCTAAATGTTAAGTTTAGGCAACATGACTGTCCAAACGTGTATTCTAGAGCAGTGGTTCCCAACCTGGGTCTGTGGACCACCAGAGATCTGCAAGAATGAAAATATGGTTCATAGCCTCATTGTTACTACACTGTTGCCTCAAAACCATACAACAATGACAGTGACTAGTCTCTCAAAACCCTCTTACAATGCCAAGGGAATGGGGATGTCAGGAAGAGAGAGGCTTACTACCAATGAAAGATTACTATTAGCACATCAGCTCTAGATTATTAAATATGGTTTTCTGTGGGCGAGCAGATGGCGATTACTGGATGGCATATATCCTGTATCAAAAACTAGAGCTGGTGTTGTCTATCCAATGCAGTTTTCTGAATCACTACCCCAAATAACCAAACCAAAACTAAAGTTGACCAAAAACTGATTTGTAATCATTTTGGCACTAATGTTGTAGAGTGGTCCCTGGTCAAAGTGTCCCCTGGTCAAGTGGTCCCTGGTCAAAAAAAGGTTGGGAACCATTGTTCTGGAGAAACATATCGATAGGTCAAAAACAAAAATCAGTTTACTGGGTCCCATTATATAATTTACCAGTGTTGGTTACTTTGTGATGAAGCATGTGGATTTGTATAATGTAAAAGGCAGGCAAATAATTTTAATAATGTAAATAACAATTACATAAAATATTCTGAGTAGAAAGCCAAGCAGAATGCCAAGCCAATAAAGAGAATGCCAGTGCCTCTGTCTCTGAAGCACATATCATAGCAACCTAAACTTTTTTGAAATATGAAGCATGAAGACTTGATAAAAAAAATATTTATTTACTGTATTTGTAAACTGCCTTTCTCAGCCAATTGGCGACTCAAGGCAGTTTCCAACAAATCAGTATACATAAAACATAATAGATAAAAAACATTAACAGTATAAGACATCACAAAAACAATAAAAGCAACATCATCAGCGTCTCATTTTAATATTTTAATCATTTCTCATTTGACTGTTGTTTGTTGATTTTGGGGGGAATTTCTGAGATTCAAAGACAGAGATACTTTTATTATTCATCACTAAGCCCCAGGGTTGAAGAGAATATTCAAAAATGTTTCTGGACATTCATGAAACCCTGATGTGAAGAAATCTGGGATAACAAATATCTTCACAGTGTTAGCATTATTCTGGATAAAAGTTGATGATGTTGTACCAAAAAAGATTTGCATGGAAAATAACATTTCGGCTGATTTTCCAGGCATAAAATGCTGTTTTCTTACCATAAAAGTGTGAATTTTATGCAAAATAAGTAATCAATTACACTATGTCCTCAAGAGGAAACAGCAGTTTTGTGCCCAAAATGATGCAATATGCAATTTCCTGAACAAAAAAAAGTTGTTTCCCATGAAAAAAGAACCAAACAAGCCTATGTGTGAATTTTGCACAAAATGAGACCCAAACTCTGGATCGTTTTTGAAAGCTCTTCTGTTCTGAAAGATTTTCTTGCAGTGAGGCAGAATTGTTAAAATTAGTCATTGCTTCCTTCTGATATAGTCGTTAGGCACTGATGTTAGTGAAGAATTACATCCCTGCTAAGCAATGCTTTTCAGATTCTCAAAGCCTGTGTGCAAACATTTCAGAAACAAAAAAACACTATTCTGCATACCAAATATATAAAAGCTAGGCATAGCTGTGTGTTGAACTGAAGCCCAAGGCATAGTAGCAGCACAGAGGGGAAAGGAGTTGCACTGTCATTAATTTGGTACCACATTGCTTAATTCCTTTGAGAGTGATTCAGGCAAAAACTGTCATTAAGTCTCTCTCGGAAAATAGTAGACTTCACTGGTGTAGATAAATGATTTTTGGAAAGGGAGGGGGAAGCTGGTATTTCAGTTGTGAAATAAAAACGAGGCATCCATCAAGAAATGGTTGATAAATTCCAGAATGTGGTTATCATTTGTTAAACAGAGCATGAGGAAAATATGCCTTTCTAATTGCCTTCAGTCTTCGTGGCTGCTGCTCCTTTCCATCAAACTGCCGGGTAAAAAGAGCTTAGAATCAAGTAGAATGCTTAGAGGGATGTTCAGAGATAGCAAAAACAATAACAACCACCACAGCACAACTGGACTATCTTTCTGAGTAGCTATAACGGGACAGCACTAATGTAAATCTTCATCAATTTCATTCTCACAAGCAAGGATTAATAATTGTACCATTTTCCTCTTTGGAATGAGAAAATTGTGCACTTTTCAAAAACTATTGACAACTTTGCACATATTCTCTGATTTAAAATGCACATTTTTCCAATGTAAATAGTATTTTGTATTGTCGAAGGCTTTCATGGCTGGAATCACTAGGTTCTTGTGGGTTTTTTCGGGCTATAGGGCCATGTTCTAGAGGCATTTCTCCTGACGTTTCGCCTGCATCTATGGCAAGCATCCTCAGAGGTGGTGAGGTCTGTTGGAAATAGGACAATGGGTTTATATATCTGTGGAATGGCTGGGGTGGGGCAAGGAGCTCTTCCCTGCTAGAGCTAGATGTGAATGTTTCAGCTGATCACCTTCATTAGCATTTGAAGGCCTGCCTGAGCCTGGGAAAACTTTTGTTGAGAGGTGTATTTTGTGTTGTAAAAATGCTGCTTCTGTGCAGAAAAAAACATGCTTTCTGAAAAATAAGATTTTCTGTGCTGGAATTAGGTTTTCCAAGCAGAAGTGGGATTTTTTTGTGAGTCAAAATAATACTGGTTTGTTACAAGAATTTTGGTTTCTGTATAGAAATGTTGTCCAGAATCCTGTGTGGCTTTTGTGTGTGTGTGTGTGTGTGTGTGTGTGAGGAGCGACTTGAGAAACTGCAAGTTGCTTAAGGTGTGAGAGAATTGGCCGTCTGCAAGGACGTTGCCCAGGGCACACCTGGAAGTTTT